TGACATTAGCAAAGAAAACAGTCTAACTTAGTTACATATAGCCAGTTAATGTTAGAAAATTAGTTACATTTACCTCACCAAAGAAGGCAAAGAAGACATCTCATTTTATACGAGTCATCTTATACATTTTATATATGCTAACTCCAGCATGTTGAAACATTTTAGTGAGGTAAGGGCAGGCACTCATCAAGTTCCACACTACAGTCTGGTGGCTTATCCATCTTTAAATGCACACAGATAGCCATAGAGCAAACTACATTTTGTAGCATGGGAAGGTGACAGCCGATGAAGAGTTGGTATGATGCTTGAGTGTTTTTCTTTGTTTTCATTGATGAACTTGATTGGATGCTAAAGTGTATATTTATAATCTGTACTTTACAGCATAGTTCTAAATAAAACTGGAGTATCAATGAAATAAGTTTTTTTTTCTTGGAAATGTAACTAAGTTACAGTACAGGTATTTAACTTCAATTCTCAAGTAATGAATAAATATGGAAAAATAATAATTAAGTATAGTAACTAAGTACAATTAGTCAAGCACCCCTGATCATTACCAAAGGTACTGAATGTGATAATTGGTTGTTTTACAATGAAAAGCAATATATGGATATTGGAATATAGATTATAATGTAAAATAATTGCTGAAATTTATGTAAATATTAAGCTAATCCAAGACGAATGTTTTTTTATGGCTTGGGCTACTATGTTAAGTGATATTTGCATATACATTTTGGTTAAATACAGGCTCTATTTTGATTTATTGTGCAGCTCATTTCCAAATCAATGTAAAATTAGTGTGTTGTAGTTGTAATTACATGATAAAGATTGCATCCAGTTGTTTAAAAAGCTGGGAAGATCTGCTCTAATAGCATGAATTCATGGAAATAGTGGTTAAAAAAAAGAGGCACTTTATACCTGTTAGCTTTTGTGACTGGGATTTCTGCTCCATTTGGAATGAGCTCTTTTCCTTTCACCTGAGAAAAAAACAATACTCATACAGACACCATTTACCTTTTAAATGTCCAGTAAAACCCATGGAATTAATCTTACTGTGAAATCCAAATAGAGCTCCTCCACAACGTCCTCGTCTTCCATCAGTACATTTTTTAGACTTCTATTTTGGGAGAAAACAAGAAACTTGGATCTGCAAGTCTATTTTGAATTTAGGGGAGTATGTTATTTCTTAAAAGAAATTATTCTCAACCTGGCCTCCACTGGTGACAGCTCCTCCAGGTCTCTGAAAGTTGGACTGAGGTTCAGCAGCTTCTTGAACAGTGCCACCGGGAAGCCAATGTTCATAAAACTATGGTTATAAAAGGCCAAACCAGAGATGACGCCAATGTAGAACAGTTCCTCCAGACTGGAACCAGAATCCTACAATGAATTAAAAATCAGATAACGTTAATAGTCTTGTACTGATTTTCTCTCTAAGCATAATTTAAAATCTGACTTACAGCAGAGAACCAGAAGAGTCCCGAGTCCTCGGATGCCTGGATTACGCTGGAGTCTTTTGTTATTTCCTGTCCGAGCAAGGTGAAGTATTCAGCACGCAGACCTCCATCATCGATCCCATCTTCTAGAGAAAATTTCACCTGTCAACAAAAGAACATTTTTATTTAAATAAAGTAATTAAACATTTTTCAGTACAATAGTAATAAAATATCTAAACATCTAAACAAACCTTTAAAGGGAGAGAAAAATCATGTCCGCTTGTTCTCAGGTACACAAGTGTGTCAGCCAACACCGTTTTTCTGTCCACACACAGTCTGTTTCCAAAGTTAAAAAAGAGCAAAGGCTCCCTGTGTTGTGCCTGTAAAAACTTCACACACAAAAAAATCACACAATGTAGCAACACCAAGGACAGACAGAGTAGATTTTAATATAGCTTTTATGCCAAATGATTGAGTCCACTTACACAGAACACTGTGCATTTACTCTTCATGTCAAGGATAAAGGGATAATATGTAAGCTGTTCTGTACTTTCCTAAAACCAGAAAACCATAAACATTATAAACATTGAAATTTTAAAGTTAATTTTTAATGCCATACAAGTGATGACTACATACCAGAACGTTGATTAAAATAGCTAGTTGCCCATCATCACAGAAGAGCCAAGGCATCTGTAACAGTGGAGAAAATATCAAGATATTGGGTAGAGGCAATGGTAGTAGTACTGTGCTTGGGACCAGACAGTTGTAAGTTTAAATCCCAGGCCTGCTAGACAGGCACTGTTGCTCACTTCAGCTGAGCAATACCTTTAACACCTAAACTGTTTGTTATATGGTTGGGTTGTATACTGCTTCAGTTGCTTTGGACAATCTGTCAAATGTATAAATTAGGAATCTTACAGTGCTTCTTACTTTTCAAAATTCACAGCAGATTTATAAACATTCAGATAATGACACAACTTTGCTTTCAATATCCTATAATTGTGATGTTTTCTTTCTTCCTGATTTGCATTGCATCAAGTTTGATTGGTCCTGTCTCTGTCCCTGTCTTGTTATTGATTTGTTTCTCTGATTGTGTTCACCTGTTCCTTGTTTCCTCTTGATTAGCTCTATATTTATACTGTCTGTGTTACCTTATGTCTTTGTAAAGTTGTGCACTTGCCTTTAATTCTAAACTGTTTTCTATTGTTTGTGCTTCTGGTTTCATATTTTCATAGTTCCACGTTTTCTCATTTAGACTCAGGCAGAAAGAATAATCTATTTAAAACATTTTAAAAGCTTACCCCGAAGTCTATCTTACCTCTTCATTCAGTTTCATTATTAAGACCAGATTCTTTAAAGAATGTTGTTTCACCTAACAAACAAAACAAGAATTAGAACTTTTAAAAAAAAACATTTAATTCTAATTGATAGGGTTATTTCCACATATATTTGGTTTCAGTTGAATATGTACAATGTGTCCATTTATTGTCCATTTCCCAGTAGGATGTGTGCAATTTTTTGTCAGTGGTTTGCTCCTGTAGTCTGGCATTAATACTAACTTATTTAGCTCCAGAATATATCCACATTTCTACCATATTTCTGTACAAAGTGGCCTGAAAGTCACAAAAGAAATATGATTTTATTTATAGAGCCACTGCTCTATATAGGCCATGCAGACCATGCTCTGTGCACAGGGCAGCATATCTCTGCTAGGGTCTCCAAAAATAGTAATTTAAACAATTTTAGATGTATGGATGTTCATCGCAATTTTTGTCAATTTTGTCATATTGTTTTCCATCATTATTAAAAAATCTTCCCAGAAAACCACAGACATAATAAAATCCTTTTTAAAAGACCCCACTTTGACTCTCAGGAGCACTGCATCCCAGCTTCATGCATAGCATGTCCAGTAAAATTTTCTGTTAATGTCTTTCTTGAATGTAACAAACTCAAAAGCTAAAGTAAATCTAATAAAATATTATTTTACAGTTCCTTAGCTTACTCCTTCACAATAAATAGGAAGCTTGTCAGAAATGTCCACAGGCAACTGACTGAGATCAATTATGACCAGATTAATTTCTGGTTTAGAACATATCTACCTTGAATTAAAATCCAAATACAGATAGAGATTCAAATGTTTTGAGCACTAAACAGATACTGATCTTAGGTACTGTATTAAATCTCTAACATACTATAAATATTCATGTTTACTGTCTATACGCTGAATGTCATAATACCAACATGAGGTGTTGGAACAACTTCAGCACTTACCAAATCGAAAAAGTCACTGAGCTCCTTGATAAGGAAGTAACCCTCAGTCAACTTTGTAACTCTCTGATTATTAATCTGCAAGAAAAATACATCTATGATGTCATCTATTATATAATCTAGTACATTAGATGATTATGCTCATTATTATGTACTACTTTACCAAATATATGAGTTTATATGTAAAAGATTTACAGAGTGAGAGAAAACTCCAGTGCGTACGGTGAAGAGTTTCTGCAGAACCGCAAGCAGAGGTAATACTTCAGTCCAGTGGTCACATATTGTAGTCGTCATCAGTGACATGAAGTGAGCACACACTGAGTGAAAGGTCTTCACCAGAGTCCTGTAGTAGTAGTAGGGTAGTTTGGTCCACAGGCTGGCTGAGGGAATTCCACACATAATGATCACGATACAATATAAACTGAATATTTTCAAGCTACTGATGTTGTAGAGTTTAAATAGGAATAAAACACTTGGGGGTGTGCCTTTATAAAAAATAATAATAAATAACAGTGGTGAGATGTGATCTACAGAAGCCCTAAGAGGCCATACATCATTATTATTTTTTTCTCTCTTGTTTTCTCGTGATCACGACTTAATTTTCTTGTTTTCTCGACATAACAAAATAATTGTTTTCTCATGATCTCAACATAACAAGTTGTTTTCTCGTCATCACGACTTAATTTTCTCGTGATGTCAACATAACGTTGTTTTTATTGTTCTGGAGGCAGCAGAAGCTTAATACAATCCCGCAGCATCATGGATGAACAAATTCATTTTTACTTTGATCAGGGACTCACTCAAGCTGAAATAGCTCTATCAGTCATTGACAGCTTCCACATTAGTGTTCAACACTTGAGAAGGAGGCTGTCAGGTCTACACCCCTCTCCCTTAATGTGGAAATAAAGTCCATCTTTACAATGGGTAATTATTAAATTTATGATGGCGATTGCAAAGACGCCAATGTGCATTGCACCACCAGTCCCATTCAGAAGACGTGAGATTTTCTCATGATAAAATTACATCGTGAGAAAACAACTTTTTGTTACGTGGAGAGCGTGAGAAAATTAAGTCGTTATCACATGAAAACAAGAAAGAAAATAATAAAAATGCCTGGCCTCTTAGGGTTTCTGTAGTGATCCAAAACGAAGGTGAATTTATTGTATTCTTCTTATACCACAGCAATTTTCCAATAATTACAATTTTCTCTTATTAAAGAACAACACATTGTGCTTTTTATCCATTTATAGGATATTTGTGTTGTGGAATATTTGTTCCTGGTCAATTACATTCAAATGTTAACCTAGGTTAGCTCAGTTGGCTAGAGAGTGGTGTTAACACCAAGGTCAGGGGTTCAATCCCCTACATGCCAACTTGTCTTAAGGTACTGGTGGTGGCTCAATGGTTAAGGCTCTGGGTTACTGATCAAGCCCCAATGCTGCTGTTCATTTGGCTCTTGAGCAAGGCCCTTAATCCTGTCTATGGACACTATATCATGGCTGACCCCAGCTTCCTAACATAGGGGATAGGCAAAGATAACTTGCACTGAGAATTTCACAGTGCAGCAATGTATATGTGACAAAAATAGGGTTCTTCTTTTAAACATACCATGGAAAAATAAGGTTGTGAACACAGGAACAAAACTGTTTTCTCATCTATATTTCAATATATAACTTCTCAGGTCGAATTATAGATAGAATTGCATCATTTGTACATCATATATATGGGGTACTGTCTCAGACATGTCACATCCATAACATCACTTTTTTCTTAAAATGAGTTTGTTTTTTTCTAATGTGTTGTTTTTTTAGTACTTTGTTTAATAAAGGCTGCCTGCACTGGCATCTGCCTCCCGGGAATTATTACAATATCTACATATCGCCCAGTCCTATTTAGGACTACAGAAATGTAAATTAAAAATGATAAATTTGCCATTTTCAACATATTTTAGTAATCAATTAATTACCCCCCACCCAATGCCCCATTGATTTTAAATCAAACAGTTAAAAATACTGTTAAAGCACCTAATCAATGCTAAAGTTTCATAAAGTGTACATACTCAAGACATCCATTGACCCAGGCTCCAGGCATAAGATGGCAGAGGCCAGTGCAACAGTGAGCTGTGTGCCACGTCCTTGTTCTTTCAGCACTCGGAGGAGTTCAGGCAGGATAAGGTAAACCCTCAGAGCCTCCACACCAGCAGCAGTCGAGCCCAGAGAGGGCAGAAGATCATTCTCTACCACCTTCTCTACCTGCGAACAAATCATATCTCTGACATAAAAATACAATTACAAATGAATATAATTTACACTCCTAATCTTGCCATTTAATGTTGTTTCATCAACAAACCCATACCTCTAGTAGAACTTTGTCCTTTCTGGCCAGCTTCTCAAAAGCAAGACAAGCCAAAGACAAATCGAGACCAGAATTCCCTATCGATGTTTTATAATGTTTGTCACTGCTAACAATAAAAAGTGCAACACGTATGTGATTAGTAAACTGATGAATATGCTAATTTGAACATGAATGTATTATCAGTGCATATTTATACCTTTTCCAACAGAAGCTCCCGTTGATGCATGATGCTGATGAGAACACTTTCTTGATTTCCCTACAATGCAGAGGACACAATAAGCTCCAAAAGTGTTTAGCGTACAGTATATTAAAGCTGCTAACTGTTCTGTATTAACTAGAATAGCTCATTTTGGGGCTAAAATAAGTGGAGCAGAGAGCAATTTGTAATCTATTGTGTAAAAAACCCCAGTTACAGTGAGCGTACCAGGGTGTGAACAAGAGGTGTGTCTATAACTGGCATGTCCATAATGTATTGCAACAAAACAGCTCTGAATAACTTACATTGAATTATTAGTCACTTATTTAGGCACATCTCAGATGGTTCTATTTGGAAAAGTGCTACTCAACTGCAGTGATGTTTTCCTTCATACCTTTGTTTTCCTTTCCATACTTTTGAGTTACAGTCTGAAATCCAGTGATCGATAATTTCATCATCCAACACTGCTGTGCCATTGCATGAACTCAGATTTGAACTTGCTTGAACATCATCCTTTAACAAACATTACATATTAGATAAAAATGTAATTTTTCCTTAAAATAAGACTTAAATTAAATTAAATAAGACTCTTTAAAAAGAGTTCTTTTGCTTACCATTTTAGAGATAAAGAGGACAGAAAGATTCCCTCCAGCAGTAATTTTCTTAATCATCTGATCAGGGCTATATTCTGCTCAAAAATACAAAATTATGATTATAGGACCAGTTGTCACTAACTAAAGTAAATACACTCATCTGTTTTCAAAAGTGTGCTCATAGTGTACTGACCTGGTGGCAGCTGGACAGGAAATGGCACACACCGATTGGTCATCTGTCCATTTCCCAGCTGTCCTTGCTCTCCACATCCAAATGAGTAGATTGTGTTTGATGATTCAACCAGTGCCAGAGTATGATGCCTTGAATTAAAGAGAACAGCCTTCACATGAACTACTTCTATAACTTTAATCTAAAATAAGAAAGGAATAAGACAATGTCCTGTTATAGGAAAATAATCAACGATGCAAAGCAGAGTTACTGTTACCAACGAAAGTTGATTTTTTTTGCTTTGTGTGCTCTTCTCCTCTTATTCCACAGCAATTTGTCAACAATTACAGTTTTTACTAATTCAAAAATGACGCATAATACTTTTTATCTGTTTATAGTTACATTATATAAGTTTATAATTATCGTTAATGTTTTTTTTCGCTCACATTATATAGCTGCTATACGGTAAACATTCATTTTCTCTCCAGCCTCATCTTTTCTCTCTCTTGTTGAAGTTAAAAAACACAGCTTGTCATGACAGAAAAAAATGCATCTTAGGTTACAGAGAAACCACAAAGTCTTCTGAAGACTTTCCTGTCTCTGACCACTTAAATTTACAGCTATACTACTGACAGCTTTACTACTGTTACAAAGCACTGACACTGGAGACTCCTTCCAAAAATGTTAAATAAACATCAACAATTACTCAATTTTTAAATCAGTTTGTGAGGTGCGTCCTTGTGTAAGTTACTATAGAAATGATAACATATTAGGACAAGCACATTAATATAAACCTTGCAGCCAGCACTACTATTATATTAATCAGCACCTTCTAACCAATCAGAGCGAGCATTTCACAGTGTTTAAAGATAAGCTACATTCACTTTCAAAGGTGAGAGGTACACAAAGTTGTGTCCTTGTGCATACCATAGTAACAAGCATTTATATTGTGAAATGTACAGTTCTGTACCTTTTGTCTTATGAGGTTACATATTAGAGGTAGTTACTTACCGTCCACAGACAATTTGGGACACTTTGGATCCCCAGAATTCAGCAACTACACGAGGATGAAGTTCATCTCTGAGTGAGTTATGTCCAAGCTGCCCATAATGACCAGATCCAAATGTGAATATCAGTCCTCCCTACAAAAAACAGACAAATTCTTTTATTATAATTTCTATATATTATATATGGCTACTATTGTTATTTCTGTTCTGCTGTTTAAGCTTTATTATTATTATTATTATTATTATTATTATTATTATTATTATTATTATTATTATGAGACCCAAAATTTGGATCTTTGCTATAATTTTTCTAACTGATCAGAATTACGGTTTTCCCTTTACGGAAGCTCAAACTGGCCAAAATTCCCATTGACTTCCACTGAAAATTTTGGACTGTTATAACTCCTAAACAGTTACAACTCATCTGGTATAAATGTCCACATCATTTGCAGTACTCCTGTAATGCTTGTCTATTGCTTTAACAGCTCTGTGCGTGGAGTGTATGATGCCTGACCTGTAGATTGTTTTAGATTAAAAAAAAAAGGAATCTGTCAAATGAATATATTTGTATGTAAGTATATTCAGTATATTCAGTGGAAGTGCTGATAATTCAGTTCTTTAAAAAAATTTTTTTACTTAAAATATAAGCCTTAAAGAGTGTTTTAAGCTAAACCATTTAAAGTCTCACCTTATTATTTTGTAATTATTAACTTGATTATTCAGTACCTATTATGAATAATTCAGTAACTATTGTGAATCTAGTAGGAAATGTATGTGGAATTTCAGTTCGGAAGTGTTAACCTTTGTGAGAACAGCAGTATGCTCCTCTCCACATGAGATGAACACAGTTTTCTTCAAATTCAAGCTCTTCACACAAACAGGGACATGTCTATCTGTGAGAAGATATAAAGACCACATTTACTGTGCAGATTCACACAGACCTGAGTTTATAGTACATGGACAGTAAAGTCAGTACCATCAGTGTTTCCCAGGCCCAGCTGCCCGGCACTGTTCCTGCCCCAGCCGAACACGGTTCCGGAGAGAGACAGGGAGAAGCTGTGGTCTCCTCCAGCGCTGATCTGAGCCAGTGGGATCCCACACAGAGACTTGAGGGGCTGAGGAGACAGAGAGCTCGGCTCACCTTTCCCCAAACCCAGCTGACCGCTCGAGTTCTGACCCCACGTGAACAACTGACCATCTGAGAAGATCAGAGGGAACAACTTTGCAAAATGGGTGCCACCATAAACATTCATAAATTCTTAAATGTAGACTTAATTTCTTCCACAACATTAAATGTAACTGTAAACTGATCAAATTTATGACATTAGTTTTTTAAAAATGTAATCACTGGCAAATTGCTGTGGCATAGGAGGAAGAAAAAACTTCTTGATGACATGCTGTTATCAAGAAATAATCAGTTTCACATCACATCACCCTATCATTGACTGTTTTTATATAACAGCACTCCTGTTATGTTTTATTCCTTACACAGCAAATGGACTCAATCTAAACTCAATCACCATTAATTCCTCTGCAATTTGTTTAATAGGAAAAAGTGGTGTAACTACATACCTCTTGTTAGGACAACTGAGTGATAGTTTCCACATGCAACTTGTGCAATTTGTATGTCAGTTAAGCTGCTGATTGTCCTGATCATGCAAAACAAAACAAAAAAAAGGTTAAGATGCAATTAGTATAGCTAGACAAGGTGTTCTCTCAGATGAAGGCCTACCCGGGAATGTTGGACTGATATGAACACTTCCATTCCCACACCGTTCCTGCCTCAGACACAAGCACAGCATGCTCTTGTCCACTGCTGAAAATGGCAACTCGTTCCTTCTTCAAATTTAAAGTCATTCCTAAAAACATAAACATAGTTGTTATTGATGTTGTATACAGTATGTCTATGATTACAATGCTGGTCGTTTTTTTCCTCAATAAACTGTATGTTTTTTTTTTTTTGTTATTTGCACTGTGTATCTTATATCACAATATTTTACACAATATTAAACGTCTCTAGGTTACGTATGTAACCATGGTTCCCCGAAGGGA